CGGGGCGGCCGACCCGAACAAGTTTGACTACCCGATCTCGGCGGTGAAGGCGTTTCCCGCGGAGAGTAGCGCCGCCGTATCCGTGTCGTGCACCATTGGTGAGTGGGACCTTCTGCTGGCTACTACCACGAGAAACGTTTTGAGAGACGTCTCCTTCATCGTTTATTCCGAACGTGCCTCTTTGTTCTCGTTCCGTCCGGTTGGTTATCAGAGCCTTCCGTGCTCTTTCGCTCTTACGTCCCCCCCCCCTCCCCGCATGCTCACCCCGTTCTTTCCCTTCTGCGCCCGTATCTTCCCCCGCTTCCCCCCCGCTCTGCCTCTCAGCGAAGAGCGTGTGCGCGACGGTGCGCTGCCCCGCCCATTCCAAGTGCACCGTGACTGCCTCGGGCGGCGCCACGTGTACATGCAAGCGCGGCTACACGCCGGTCGGCGGCCAGTGCATCAGTACGTTCACCATCTCCCCGCCCTTCTCTCCCTCCGCCTCCTCCCGTTCCGCCTCCGCAGTTACCCTCGCGCAAACTCGCTCTCACAATCGCTCCCCTTCCCCCCGGGAGCGTTCCCCGTCCCCGTCCCCCTCCCCCCCGCGTACTGCGGCGTCCTCGCCGCCCGCTAAGAAGAAGATTAATGGCACGAAACCCAAACGTGAGAGCTTGGGCAAACAAAGACCATTACTCAGGACGCGCCAGCCCTGGATTGGGATGGGCACGAAATAGGGGCGCCTTTGCATTCCCTTAGGGCTTCGTTTTACGTCCCCCCCCATTGTCCCGTCCCTCTCTCCCTCTCCCGTCTTCCACCGAAACACGCCTTTCATGTTCCCCCTTCTCTTCCTCTTCCCCTTCCCCCCGTCTCTCGTTCCTCCTCTCTCCCCCATCTTCCCCATTGTCCGCCACGTCCACCCGCGCAGACGTGTGCGCGAAGGTGCAGTGCCCCGCGGGCGCGGCGTGCCAGGCTAGGAACGGCCGCGCGTTCTGCATCTGCCGCAGCGGCCAGCCGCCCGTCAACGGCGTGTGCAAAGGTGCGCGCGCTCACGGGCCACCAACTACCAAACCCATCAACCCCATCAACCCCACCAACCCCACCATCCCCCTGCCGCTCGCCACTGACGCCGCTTATCTTATCTGTGGCCTCCTCTTCCCTCTTCCCCTCTTCCCTCCTCCCCTCTTCCCTCCCCTCTTCCCTCCTCCCCTCTTCCCTCCCCTCTTCCCTCCTCCCCTCTTCCCTCCCCTCTTCCCTCCTCCCCTCTTCTCTCCTCCCCTCTTCTCTCCTCCCCTCTTCTCTCCTCCCCTCTTCTCTCCTCCCCTCTTCCCTCCCCTCTTCCCTCCCCTCCTCTCCTCCCCTCTTCCCTCCCCTCTTCTCTCCTCCCCTCTCCTCTCCTCCCCTCTTCCCTCCCCTCTCCTCTCCTCCCCTCTTCCCTCCCCTCTTCTCTCCTCCCCTCTTCCCTCCCCTCTTCTCTCCTCCCCTCTTCCCTCCCCTCTTCTCTCCTCCCCTCTTCCCTCCCCTCTTCTCTCCTCCCCTCTTCCCTCCCCTCTTCTCTCCTCCCCTCTTCCCTCCCCTCTTCTCTCCTCCCCTCTTCCCTCCCCTCTTCTCTCCTCCCCTCTTCCCTCCCCTCTTCTCTCCTCCCCTCTTCCCTCCCCTCTTCTCTCCTCCCCTCTTCCCTCCCTTCTTCTCTCCTCCCCTCTTCTCTCCTCCCCTCTTCCCTCCCCTCTTCTCTCCTCCCCTCTTCTCTCCTCCCCTCTTCCCTCCCCTCTTCTCTCCTCCCCTCTTCCCTCCCCTCTTCTCTCCTCCCCTCTTCCCTCCCCTCTTCTCTCCTCCCCTCTTCCCTCCCCTCGTCTCTCCTCCCCTCTTCCCTCCTCCGCAGAGGCCACCAGCAGCACGGCCGTGCTCGAGTACGTCATGGGGCACAACGCCGCTCGCAGCGCCATCGGCCTCGCACCGCTCGCATGGAATCTGACATGTAAGCCCGTGTGTGCTCTCAATGAATGCGAATGCGACATGTTTCAAACGTACGCCCGCCAACTCGTACTCGATCGCCTCCGCCTCACCCTCTCGCGCCTTTCGTGCCCCTCTCCTCTCCCCCGCCCCCGCCCCCGCCCCCGCCCCCTCCCCCCTTCTCCTCCCCCAGTGGCTGTGCGCGCGCAGAACTGGGCGCGCGTGCTGGCGACGAAGCACCAGTGCATGCAGCTGGAGCACGGCGATACCAAGGGCGTCGGGCAGAACCTCTTCGCGGGCTGCTGTAACGGGTTTTACAAGAACGCGGACGCCGTGCAGGCATGGGTGGACGAGATTAAAGACTACAAGAAGGGCAAGTACCCCGACTCGTGCCGCGCGGGCAAGCAGTGCGGGCACTACACGCAGGTGGTTTGGGAGACGACGAAGCAGCTTGGGTGCGGTCGCGTGGATTGCGCCAATGGCTGGACCGTTTGGGCGTGCGATTATTACCCGCCCGGAAATTACATTGGCCAATACCCCTATTGACGGACGCAGTAAAAGGGATTCTACAGCATGGGTCTACAGCGAAACCATTTGAATGATTATGCAGTTTTGGAAGTAACCTCTCCATTAACCTTCCTAGGTTAGCGTATTTGTAGATAGGTACAGTAGCGATTTGCCTAGTGTCAGATGGTGCAATGTAGAGAGATGCGCTCTCTTGTGTTGATTGTTAGACGCTCATAAGGGTAATAAACCATACATCCCTAGTATCTTATCAAAGTTAACGAGTTAGTTGAACCATGACATACAAGGAAATATATCCTAGTGGATTGTATTTTCTAAGGCACAACCCTGTGTACTCTACAATAATATACAAAGATATATTGTTTGACATTATTAGTCCAGCCATTGGGAAGAGGTATCAAAAAGAATAATTGAACTAGAATGTGTAAGTATAAGGGTATATAGTGTTTAAGTTAGAATTGAACGACTAGAAGTGGAAACCTAGAACAAATACTAGTTGGTTGTAGTCACTAGAAGCATACCTCAATCTAGCCTATAACTTCTACAAAACTAAAGCAAGCCAGGGCGGCACTACTAGTCCAGCCACTGGAGGTAAGGCCACAAGGCCAGTCTGACAGGCATATATAATTGAGAGTACACAATCAGGATCCTAACAGGTGAGTAGCTACAGGAACAAGACCAAGCTGTACACAGTGCCGCTGATCATCTTTAGGCGCAAGCGCCTTAGTAAAGATTTCAGCTGTGTTGGCACCTGAGGCCAAGTGAACTGCGCGGGCCTGGCGGCGCTGCTGTAGCTCGCGCAGGAGGAAGTACCGCAGCTGGATATGCTTCGCTCTGCCCTCAAGCCGAGACTCCTGACACAGGAGTATCATGGCCCTGTTGTCAGCGTACAGGACCGGGGCAGAGCTAGGCCGCTCACCTAAGTCTGTGAGCAAGAAGGTCAACCAGCGGAGCTCCTGTGCCGCCATGGCACCAGCGTAGATCTTAGCCTCACAGCTAGACTGAGCCACAGACGACGAGCGAGTGGATCTCCAAGAGATAGCACCCGAACCAAGGCTAAAACAGTAGCCCTGCGACGACCTGAGCGCCTCAAAGTCGTCTGCCCAAGAAGCGTCTGTGTGCCCAGTAAGGACCACTGGCCTGCGTCCTCCTAGCACTGACCCCATGCCCGATAAACTAGCAAGATAACGCAAAACCCTCTTAGCGGCAGACCAGTGCTGAGGTCGGTGTCTGACTGTAGCCACAAAACGAGCCAGGATGCTGAGAGGGTATGCGAGATCTGGGCGAGTGCAAGTCATCAGATACATGAGGCAACCCACCAGCTCTGCGTAGGGGCCACTGGGCTCTACTGGCTCCTCAGGAACGGGAGCGGAGAGCCCATGGTCTACAGGTAGACGTATGGGCTGTGCGGAGGAGAACTGAAGACCGAACCTCTGAAGGACCTGACGTACCAAGTGTGACTGTGTGAGAGTGATGGTGCGTGCTGCTTTGTCCCTAGAGATCTGCAGGCCAAGATAGCGACGCAGCTCTCCAAGGTCAGTGCAGGTGTGTCTCTTCAGCAGCTCGGCCTTCACAAAGGCCAGTGCGTCCCTGTCAGCAGTAGCGAAGACCAGATCGTCTACGTAGACAAGGATGTAGAACAGAGTCTGTCCGGAACGCACAAACAGCGAGGGGTCAGGAGAGGACGGAAAGAACTGCAGGTCTGCTAACGTGGCCCGCAGCGTGTCGTGCCACTCGCGAGGAGCCTGACGCAGGCCGTAGACCGGGCGCCTGAGAAGCCACTGGGTCCCAGGGGGGAAGGTACCAGTGAAGCCCTGTGGTCGGCGTAGGTAGACCTGCTCGTGTAGGCTGCCCTGAAGAAAGGCAGTAGAGAAGTCGAGGGAGTGAAGCCCGTAGTCGCGCTGTGCTGCTATGTGTAGCAGCGCCCGAAGAGTGGTCATCTTCGGGGTCGGGGCGAAGGTCTGGAAGAAGTCAACCCCCTCTCGCTGACTGAAACCTCTGGCCACGTAGCGCGCCTTGAAGACAGGCGGCTCTCCAGGGGGGCGCTTCACCTTGAAGAGCCACTGACCATCGACTACGTTCACCCTAGGCGGGGGAACTGCGTCGACGTAAGTGCCGGTGGACCTCCAAGATGCCATGTTTGCGTCCATGGCAGCTATCCACTGAGAGGCCCAAGGTCCCGAGATGGCCTCAGCGTAGGTACGAGGGGTCGAAATGTCGAAGGCGTCTGGGTCACCCTCAGGGACTAACAGCATGGAGCAGAGATGGGGAGCAGCCTCGGAAAGGAAAGCAAGCTCGTACTGCCTGTCCTCTAGGACGTCACTGCCAAGGGCAGGAGCACCCCCGACGGACGGAGGACGGGCAGGGTCAGAGACCAGAGCGGTAGCGTAGTCAAGGCGGCGGGTAGAGGCGAAGTCAGCAACAGCAGCGACAAGCGCGTCAAGGCGCGAGACAGGAACAGCAGGGTCGGTAACAAGAGACGTAAGGATCCGAGGGACAAGGGGACGAGCGGCACGAAGGTAGTCAAAGAACGGAGGAGGTGCAACAGCAAGGGACGAGGGAGGAGGGGACGGGAGGAGGGGAGGACGAAACGAGCGGGAACGGAGCAACGTAGGGTGGGTGGGCAGGACAGGAGAGACGGGACGAGCACGGGAGGGACGGCGAGCCCAAACGTGAGACGGAGGTGTAGGGTCAGGGGACAGCGGAGGGGACACAGGAGGGGAACGAGGAGGAAGACGGGCCGGAGACGAGTCCGGCGGCGGGAACACAGGACCGTAGACAGGAAGGTCAGCAGGCGGTGGGGGAGACACCGGCGCGCGGTCCGAGGAGGGAAGGCCGAGCAGGCGGAGAGCGGAGACCGGCGGCGACGGCTGCTGCGACGGCTGGGCTGGAACCCTCGGACCGGCAGAGGCAGGACGACCGTCGGCGGAACCGTCAACAGCAGCACCCCCAGAACCAACACCCCCAGAGAAAGAACCCCCTCCAACTTCAGCGGCACCCCCGGGAGCCGCAGGACGAACACCCTCCTCAACGCCAGCACCCCCAGAGGCAAACGGCGGCAGCGGCGGCGGCTGCGGCGGTGGCAGTGACTGCGACTGCGACGGCGGCGGCGGCGACTGCGGCAGGGAAGGCAGAGACACCGGGGAAGGGGACGCGGCAGGAACGGGCCGGGGGGACTACCAGAGTCAGTAGACTCCTCAACGGGGACAACCGACGGGAGGGGAGTGACGTGAGAGACACCAGACGGGGCAGGATGAGGCGGGAGAGGAGCAGGGGCTACCGGGGGAGAGGGAGCCAGGAACAGGGGCGGGGCAACCGGGAGACCTCGGTGAGGGAAGCGACGGTAGAAGGAAACAGACTCGTCAAAGGTGACGTCACGAGAGTGGAGGAAGCGGTGAGACGGCGGGTGGTAGAAAGGCCGGTTAGACGAGTCCAGGGGAAAACCGAGGAAGACATAGGGGACAGTGCGGGCAGTGAGCTTGTCCGTGCCAGAGGCACGAACGTGAGCAAGGCAGCCCCAGACGTGGAACGCAGACGCGTCACCGGAGGACCCGGTCCAAAGGAGGGTCGGCGAAACCTGTGGCCGCTGGGAGCGTGGCCACAAGTTAGCTGGTGAGCAGCGTAGCAAACAACGAACGGCCACAGAAAATGGGGGGCATCGGCATGAATCATGGAGGTACGAGCAACCTCCATGACCAAGCCGATGCGACGCTCAGCAACCCCATTCTGCTGTGGCGAGTCCGGCAAGGTGTACGACTGGGTGATGCCCTCCGCACGACAGAATTGTCCAAGCCGACCAGAGGCGAACTCGCCGCCACGGTCAGAGTGGAGACACAACACGGGGAGACTGCGGTGGAGACGCGCAGCCACAACCCACGGGAGAAGAACTTCGGGCACGTCGGCCTTCCGCTCCAGGGGAAACACCGTGGTGTAGCGCGTGTAGTCGTCGACGAGCACAAGGAAGTAGCGCTCACCGCGCGGTCCGGGGACGGGGGCAGGGCCCCAAACGTCCAGGTGCAGGGTCTGAAGGGGGGCAGTAGCAGGGCGCAGCGAGGAGGAGTGAGGAGCACGGCGGAGCCGACCCTCTCGCAAGGCGTGCACGGTGGCGCAGTCGAGGGAGGAAGGGCAGGGAGCGACGCGGGGAGACCTAAGACAAGACCGTGCTGGGACATGTGACGCTGACGCGGGAGAGGAGGGTGACCTAAGCGGTGGTGCCAGGGAAGGGACGGGTGAGTGAGGGACCGACACGAGCAAGCTGCAGCGACCTGGGAGGACGCACCAACCGGGGGGGAAGCGGTGTCTAGGGTAAACAGACCGGACACCGGGTCCCGGGGGAACGTCGCAAAGGGGGAACCTGAGACAGCCTCAGAACAGACAGCGAACCGCTCGTGCCCGGGGAACGTGGTGGTGACGCCGAGGTCCTGGAGACAGCCGACACAGACCAGGTTCCTCGAGAACGAGGGAACGTGGAGGCCTGTAAGGGAGCCCGAGGGAACTGCTGGACAGGGAAGGGACGTAGAACTGCGAGCGACGACTGGACCCGCAGAGGGGTTAGCGAGAGGGACAACAGCAGGCGCATCAAGCGGCGTGAGCATGGAACGGTTGCGGAAGAAGCGGGCAGAAGCACCGGAGTCAAGAGTGAAGGACAGCGACGCAGTGGCGGAGGCTGGGGACGGAGCCGGTGCAGTGACTAGACTAGGCAAGCTAGGCAGTCCTACGCCTGACGCAGCAGGGGAGGCTAAGCTACACAATGATGCAACACCTAAACTAGAGTACACAGGGTAATACGATCCAGCAATACTAGAAGCATCAGAATACAAAGCATGCAAAGCAGCACCTATCTGATCCATGTCTAACTCAAAGATCGGCACGCCCTGGCGGAGCAGGTTGTGCCAGTCGGGGAGGTCCGGGGCCGGGCCAAAGCGACGACGAAAGAGATCGTCGAGGTGGCGGAAACAGCGGACGGTCGGGTGCGGGCGGCGGCAGAGCGTGCCGCAAAGGCCCGGTTTGAAGCTGGTACTGGCAGGCGACAGCACCGGAGCCGCCGGTAGACGCCAAGCTGCGTGGGCCGCCACCACGGCCACTACCTCCGGAGGTGCCGAGCCAGCCAGGCGGGAGACGATCCCACTGCTGCGGCGACTGCTGCTTGGGCGGCGGCTGTGGCTGGGGCTGCTCATGCTGCGACTGGGGCTGCTGCTCCTGCCCACCAGTGGTAGTCCCCTCAGGTGGACTACCGTCACCACCACCACCACCACCACCACCACCACCTGCGCCACCACCCTTACCTCCCTGGCGACCACGGCCACCGCGGCGCGAGCGCTGCTGCGGGTGGACCGCAGCAGCCGTCTCGGTGAGAGGGGTCGCCGTGGCGACCGCAGCCGAAACGTCAGTGAACGTGCACTAAGAGGGGGTACAGCCGTGAAAGATAGAGACTGCCGGCGCACCGCTCGACTGAGCGATAGTGCGCTGGCGAGTCTCGATCTCGGTGAGGGTATCGACAAAGGCGGTGAGGGTGAGGTCACCCGGGTGCTGGCTAAGGAAGTGATCGCGAGCACTAGCGAGGCGGTCTAGCAGGCGCATGGCGATAAAATAGAGCGTCATGCAGAAAGGGGGGGGGAGCGCTGTGAGCTGGGCAGCAGTGCTGGCAGTGCGATAGCGGGTCTCTAGGGCACGCAGGTGAGTGGCAAGGTCTGCGACGGTAGGGAAGGCTGCAAGGTCTGGGAAAAGCATAGGGAAGAGCAGGCGGCCAGCAGAAGCAGACGCGGGTGTGGAGTAGCGAGCAATAACGGCGTCTAAGTAAGCTTTGGCCATCTCAATAAGAGCAAAGCGCGAGCGCTCAGACACAGGGAGGGCGTGGCTAATTGCAACCTGAGCGACTGCATCGCGGGAGTCCCAGATCGCACGGGCAAGCGCAGCAGTAGAGAAGGACTCACGGTCATCAGAGGAGGGGTCAGCAGGGAGGGGAGCAGGTGCGGGGGGGCGGGGGAGCAAGCTGTCGACATGGACAACCAAAGAGTGGCCATCGTGGCGCTGACCTGTGAGGTGGCGGCGGAGATCGGAGAGCCAGGCGGCGAAGTCAACCGCATGGCCCTCGGCATCCAGTCGGAGCACGAAGTCAGCCATCGTGCAGGGTCAGCGGCACAGCTCCACAGGAACACATCGACGCAGGGACACGGCGGCAGCACTCTCCAGCACGGCGGCCGCAAGGAGCCCCAGCACTGGCGAGCAGTGTAGACGGGGCCGGAGGCGGCACGGCAAGACGAGCAGGCACGGTGACGCGGGGCCAGGCAGGTGCGGCGGGGCCAGGCAGGCGCGGCGGGGCCAGGCAGGCACGGCGGGGCCAGGCAGGCGCGGCAGGGCCAGGCAGGCGCGGAGGGGCCAGGCAGGCGCGGCGGGGCCAGGCAGGCGCGGCGGGGCCAGGCAGGCGCCGCGGGGCCAGGCAGGCGCGGTGGGGTCAGGCAGGCGCGACGGGGCCAGGCAGGCGCGGCGGGGCCAGGCAGGCGCGGCGGGGCCATGCAGGCGCGGCGGGGCCAGGCAAGCGTGGCGGGGCCAGGCAGGCGCGGCAGGGCCAGGCAGGCGCGGAGGGGCCAGGCAGGCGCGACGGGGCTAGGCAGGCACGGCGGGGCAAGGCAGGAAAGGCGGGGCCAGGGAGGCGCGGCGGGGCCAGGCAGGCGCGGCGGGGCCGGGCAGGCGCGGCAGGGCCAGGCAGGCGCGGAGGGGCCAGGCAGGCGCGACGGGGCCAGGCAGGCGCGACGGGGCCAGGCAGGGCGCGACGGGGCCAGGCGGGCGCGACAGGGCCAGGGAGGGCGCGATGGGGCCGAGCGGGCGCGGCGGGGCCAGGCAGGGAGCGACGGGGCCCAGGAGGGGCGCGACAGGGCTAGGAGGCGCGACGGGGCCCAAGAGGGGCGCTAGGGGGCGCGACGGGGCCCAGGAGGGGCGCGACGGGGCTAGGAGGCGCGACGGGGCCCAGGAGGGGCACGACAGGGCTAGGAGGCGCGACGGGGCCCAGGAGGGGCGCGACGAGGCTAGGAGGCGCGACGTGGCCCAGGAGGGGCGCGACGGGGCCCAGGAGGGGCGCGACTGAGCTAGGAGGCGCGACGGGGCCCAGGAGGGGCGCAACGGGGCTAGGAGGCGCGGCGGGGCCTAGCCAGGGTACGGGCAGAAGCGGTAGGTGGGGGATTCTAACCTACGCGTGATACCATGTTAAAGTTAGAACTGAATGATAGACTAGAAGTGGAAACCTAGAACAAATACTAGCTGGTTGTACTCACCTAGAACAAATACAAACCTAGAACAAATAGAAGCAAACCTCAGTCTAGCCTATAACTTCTACATAGCTAATATGTATAAGTTGACATATAGACTAGGGTGTTGTGCCCTCTAAGGCACAATCCAATATAGTCTACAGTAACGACCTAAGTTACATTTGACACACCCCCTAGACTATATAGGGGCAGTGCCTAACAGGGAAACAAGCAGCTCAGGGCGGCACTACTAGTCCAGCCTCTGAGGCAAGGGTCTAAAGACCTGTCAAAGGAGTACAGACAAGACAAGAGCAAGACCAGGGCGGCACTACTAGTCCAGCCACCGGGAGAGGCAACAAGGCCAGTCAAGGTAAAAAATAAATATAAAGGAAAGTACAAAGTCAAGGCCCTAGCAAGTGAGAGGCTACAGGAACGAGACCTAGCTGTACACAGTGCAGTTGATGATCTTTAGGTGCAAACGCCTTCGTAAAGATATCAGCTGTGTTGGCACCGGAGGCCAAGTGTACTACGCGCGCATGGCGGGCGGCGCTGCTGGAGCTCACGCAGAAGGAAGTACCGCAGCTGGATGTGCTTCGCTCTGCCCTTGAGTCGAGGCTCCTGACACAGGAGGATCATGGCCAGCCCCTCAGATATCAGGATGTTTTATCCTGAATTGCTGATTTTCACGATGCTTGTTAGGGGTCAATCCTGAAAATTCAGTTTAAGGTCATTCTCCACCCTGTGAATTCAGTTTTAAGTTATAGTGCAACCCTGAAGTTTCAGTATAGTGTTCGTGTACCTGCCCTGAGGTGTCAGTATGCTTTCGGGGACAACCCTGATTCATCGAATATTGCAAATGCACGTGCCCCACGGGCGCATGCTTTGTGTTTTTCCGCCCAAACAAATTTTGGCTTAGTCCTCGATGCTAGAGTCCAGGTCCTAAGATTCGTTTTGGGACACGCTGATTCATCATCCCTGCCTCCTGCATTAAGGCTGATTTTGCAGACTTGCCCTTGGAAGAAAGGCTGAAAATTGCAGCGTTACCTTAAAAATTTACACTGATTATTCAGCGTTAGTCGAAAATTAAAGTCTGATGCAAATTCTGAACGATCTTTTAGGAATTAGCGTGGACTTTTAATAACGGATTTCACGCTAGCCTAAGGGCGTGTTCTTGCCTCGAGGAAAACTTCTAGGCAGGACTTCGGGGCGTCTCGTATACTGGTACGGCTGAGATGGTCCAAAACTCCATATTTTTCGATATCGACCGTGTACAAAATGCCCTTATGTGCCGCCCTGATGTTTTCCCGAGGCAAGAACACTGCCTGAAGCACTTGAATTGCCAGTAATGTGGCGCGATATAAAATTTTGAGGTGTTTGTGCGCCAACCACCTCGGGAAAGCCAAGTTTCTTGCGCGCCAGCGTGGCGCCCCCACCCCAAAGCAAAGGACTAGCGTGACTAGCTACAGTAGTGTCGAGACTTCGGCTCCAGGCCTCACGTTTGGGTTTTTTTAAATCCGGATTCTTCCAGAATTGAATATTGATGCCTCAGTTTGTGCATTTATAAGGTCCCACGGACGTGGAGCTCGTCGAAAGGATAGAATAGGCTTTCAAACGGGCAAATTTCAGGCCCTTTTAGCCAATCCGGATTTTATTCCGGCACGGGATTCGCTGGAAAAATCTGGAATTTCACCGAAATTCTGGACTATTACCCGTCTATCGTGAGCCCTGTTCGGCTCTCTGGGTGGGGGGAAGGTGTGAGGGGTGTTTCTGGTTGCTAAGGACTTGCACGAATTCTCCAAGGTTGCGGGGGTTACGAGAGGGGGTGTGACTGGTTTCCAAGGACTTCAACAAAATATTTTAGGTTGCCGAGGGTATGAGAGGAGTGTGACTGGTCGAGGACTTTGAGATTTTTTTCTTGGGGGTGTGTGTGATTGGATGCGGTAATCACGGGGGACGCAAATCTCGCTGTACTCGGTTTCAGACTCCCCCCCAGACACATCGCTGAAACCTCAACCTACACTCCAACAAAAACGCTGAAATCAACAGACATCACTATAAACAAAAGGCTGAATTTGTCAGCCTTACCTATCTCAAAAAGTCTTACAGTTCAGCGTAGGTTCAAGAAAAAATGCTGAAAAAAGGCTGAATCAGCGTAAAAAGGCTGATATCTAGGGGCCTGCTAGAGTCAATCCTCCAACCAGCCCCACGCCACTCTATTTTGGTTAAGTTCTTAATGCTACAGACAATCCGCGAACGAAGCCCAACCACACCCCCCCTCCCCCCCGCTATTCTAAATTTTTGGTGAAGTCATCAATGCTAAAGACAATCCTCCACGAACCCACCTCAACCCTAAAATCTCGGCGAGCTAGAAATTTAAGCATAGTCTTCCGCACGCACTGTATTCAAACCCCCCAAAGTCTCTGCATACGATTGACTCTCGTCGAAGATCGAACGGCCCAAATTCCTGTCACTTCACTTGAACAGATCTTGGCCATCAAATTCGTAATGCCCCAAATTCCCTCGAGCTCTCCAACATCCAAACTCAAACGGGCCGTCAGAACAGCTCGACGGCAACAATTTCGCGTTTGCCCACATGCCTTCGACTCTCGTCTAAAGATTCAGACGTGGCATTTTCCAACTGAGGGTTGTCTCAATGTCGAGACAAGTCTCGGTAATGCGTGTCAAGATTGCGTTGACAATCAAATTTGACAAGCAAAATCCTGAATGTCACGAAGTGGCCTGACATTGCGTCACATAACAACAGGCCCTGAACAATCAGAGTGTCGGAAATTTTTCCGGCCTGATTTGCTGCGTGCGCAGATTTTCGCCAAATCTTACAAGCTTGACCAATAGTGGCTAAGCTAGCGCAAAACATAAAGTACCGAACGACATCCTGTTAGAATCCTGCTGCAGTGCAATGTGACTTATTGCAACGGTTCCAGCGTTTTTGAATTTTACCCTGAGGTCATAGCATAAACTGGGGAACCACCATGAGGAATCAGTATAACGATAGGCAACCAGCCCTGAGTGCTACACGGGTCTTTGGAGGCCAGCCCTAATTGGTCAGGATGCCCAAAATCCTATCTGAGGCCCTGATCATGGCCCTGTTGTCAGCGTACAGGACCGGGGCAGAGCTAGGCCGCTCACCTAAGTCAGTGAGCAAGAAGGTCAGCCAGCGGAGCTCCTGTGCCGCCATGGCACCAGCGTAGATCTCGGCCTCACAGCTTGTCACAGGATCGAATGACTCGAGGATCGATTGCACTATCGATCAGTACAAGGTGCTTTTATACTTCCAGAGTACATTAGGTAACCAGGTTTATCCTATCCAAAGGAATAGACCCTTCTAGAATATAGAATCACCCTGCGTATAGCCACGCGAGGCCATTGGCTTTAAGGGATTACGGCAGGATTACGCTGGATAATGTGCCAGTACATCCCAAGCCTGGTCGGTGATATAATTATAATAGCAGGTTCAACCAAAGGATAATGGAAGAATGGAGAATAGGAAACCAAATGAGATGAGATAAAAAGAAGAGTGAAATAGGAAGGAGATAAGAATAGGACAAGTGGTGTAACGGGGTCGTACTCTCACACTTCCCCCCCTCAAAGCTGGGTGGTAGAAGTAACACCCTGCTTGACAAGGTAGTCATGCAGAGGACGACGGGCGTTACCCATGTCGGTTTCAGAGACCCAGCTGTCCTCAGAAGGATCATAGCCCTTCCAACGAATAAGAAGCTCCACGGTACCATTCCGACGTCGACGATGTGCAAGCACGGACTCGACCTCGTACTCGGGTTCGTTCTGGACGAGGACGGGCGGCGGCGGCGGCGGCTGGCGTCCCACGAAGATCGTGTTAGGATCCCGATAGGGCTTGCAGTGCGGTTCACCCAGTTGATTTCGGGGTTGAATATTTTCAGGAAGTCTCGCCCGAAAATCAGGTCAAGCCCTTTGATGTTGGTGATGGGGAGTGCAGGTCTCCAGCGTAGTGGTCCAATTTGTAGGTGTAACACTGCTTCGCCGTGTACTGGTAGCTTGCTGCCATCCACCATCGTTGCAGAGAATCCTGAAGGCTTGTACTCTTTCCGAAGTCGGTCGATTGCTGCCTTGTCGCAGACGGTGTGAGATGCTCCGCTGTCCACGAGTGCTTGGAGGCGTCGTCCTTTGCAGATGACCTCGAGCACGAGAGGCAGGCGTTGCTCGGAGTACCCAAAGATAGTTTCATTAATGGGGTCATAGGGTACATCCCAATAATCCGTACACACCTTTTCGTTGCTATCTGCTCCTGAGCTAGCAGCTGGCCGAGGCTACTTGGAGAACGGCTCTTCTCCAGGGCCCGGAGTTTCTTTGATGACTGTCCGCGTCATTGATGCCGAAGAACTGGATGCATCCGGAGAAGGAGTTCGGGGTTTTTGCAGCTTCTTGTAGACCCCCAGCTTCCTTTTAAGCTGCTTCAGCTCCACTGACGTCTTCCCTGGGGAACGGGTAGTCGATGTGGGCTGGTGTCGGGAGAGGACGTTGACTCCGTGGAAAGGTCGGCTTCTTTCCACACTCCTTAATTTTTTCCCCATGTTGTCCGGTACCGGTATGATCTCCACAGCTTTCTGCTTCTTTTGGAGTCCCTCCCGTATTTTCTCCAAGGCTCTAGCCCCTCGAAAATCATAAGTTTTCATTAAAGCATCTTTATATGATAGCTTTAACGAATTCTTATAATTTCTTGGGTCTTCAAGGAGTTTCCCTGTTTGGGCAGAGTCTTTTTTCGCGGAGTCTGATTTTTCCTCGGCGATTTCCTCTGGCGAAGACTGGTCGTGGGGTGGAGATTTTCCCCCATCATTTCCTCCTGCTCGCGTCGAATCAGCTTCGTCGAAGTAGATTTTCCCGGAATCCCGCGGCCGTTTCCGGATCTTTTCTTTTTCGCTAGCTAGATCCGCAATCACTGGCGACTCCCGTTTTTTGTCTTCTGATTGGCCGAAAGATTTCCGCCACTGTTGCGTGCCCGATACTCTGCGCGTGCGGCCTTCATTTTGTTGCAGTCGAAGATTCGGTGGCCCGGCACCCCGCAAAAATCACACGTGTAGTTGGTGTTTTTCGGACGTGGCCGCCCGTCGAATCTGTCGATCTCCATCGGGTCGGCGAACGTGGTGTGAGCCGAGCGGTCGCCTTGTCGCGTACTGCCGACGTGCGTCCGTCGTGTTCCGGCGTTGACCATGTCGAAGCGCTCCGCGGCCGAAACGACGTCACTGTAGCTCGCGTAGTTTGACGCTGCCACCTGTCGTTTGACTTCGGTCTTCAGCCCTGCGAGGTACGATTGCACTTTTTCCCCTTCGGTCAGGTCGGGAATTCGGTTATAAAATTCTTCCATCTGCTGCGTGTACTGTGCTACACTCCCGAACTGTCGATGGCGATGAATTTTTTCGCGGGCAAGGAAACCTGAATTTATCGGCTCGAATCGTTTGAGCAGGTCGGGGCGGAACTGCTGCCACGTGTCTTCACCGTGGATGAAGGTACTGTTGCCGCCAATCCACTCGAGTGCCCGCCCTCGCATCAGTGTCGCCGCGAGTCGTACGCGTTGACCGTCCCAGACTGGCGAGCTCCATCCGACGGCTGCGAAGTAGATCTCCATCCCGGCGATCCATCAGCGGGCGTCGGAGTTTCGATCGCTCGGATCGAACGGCTCAGGTGGGCGCGGTTTCGGAGCCTCGAGAAACTGCTGCGACTGCTGCGTCGTCGCCGTTGTCGAGTCGTGCTGCGCTCCGGCGAGTCGAGTTACTCGCTCGAACTCGTTTCGCCACGCTTCGCGATCCGCTCGCAACTCCTCCTGAAGAGCGGCGATGCACACGAAGAGTTGCTGGGTAACCTCGGCGTTGTCGAAGGTTGCCATCCTGTTCAAAACACGCGCGGGAGGGGGAATTCACAAAACGCGGAGCTGGTGCTTACCAGAATCGGCGTCGAATTCGTCGCCCCGGCGGTTTTTCGAGGCAGGTTTTCCCGCAGCTGCTGCTTTGTTGAGCGCGGCCGAGTGAGAAAAGCTCTGATTACC